TTTGGAATTGCTTAATTCGTTCTTGAGATATATATGATTAAGTGGACCCAATTTTTTTTTTTTTGCAAAAACGGTAAATTGCAAATATCTCAAAAACGGTACCATAAAATTAAAAATAACCTTGATTTTCGGAATCAGGGGGTGATTTTACATACGAATTTCATAACAGCGTCTCTGGTAAATTTTGGCCGTCGACCAGTGTTATCAAAGGTTAAATTTCCAAATAAGCTATTTTTGAAATCGAGATTTCTTAAAAACAAATGGATGGATTTTGAAAATTTTGATTTCATTCAATAAGAAATTCGATTTCCTTTAATTTGGTGTACGTACTTTTATATATTTTGGTTCGTTCTTACAAAAATTGAATTAATGTAAAATAATTATAAAAAAAACACCTTTTGCAGAGAACACCTGTCTGCGTAGGCGGCCTTCGGCCGCACTTAGGGATTATAACTCTCACAAAGTAGAATTCTCTTCCTGTGTTGGGAAGAAAAGGCACTGAACACCTTTTGCAGAGAACATAACTTTCTGCGTAGGCGGCCTTCGGCCGCACTTATGGATTATAACCCTTCCAAAGTAGAATACTCTTTCTGTGTTGCGAAGAAAAGGTACTGAACACCTTTCGCAGAGAACACCTTACTTGTAAGCTTTTTTTTAATAATTATTTTACATTAATTCAATTTTCGTAAGAACTATACAACATAAATATAAAGTACGTATACCAAGTCGGCCACTGTGGTGCGCGCTGTCACTCATCAACACCTGGGTTCAAGCCCTGGTGAAAGCAACATCGCAAAAATTATAGAAAAAGGTTTTTTATTAACAGCGGTCGTCCCTCGGCAGGCAATGGCAAACGTCCGATTGTATTTCTGCCATGAAAAACAGCTTCTCATAAAAATACAGGTGCCGTTCGGAGTCGGCGTAAAACTGTAGGTCCCTCCGATTTGTGTGACAACATCAAGGCGCACGCCACAAGTCGGTGGAGAGGCTCGGCCAGACACTAACATATGTGTAAGCGCCAATCTATTATTATTATTACGTATACCAAATTAAAGGGAATCAAATTTTCTATTAAATGAGATAAAAATTTTCAAATCCATTCATTCGTTTTTGAGAAATCTTGAGTTCAAAATTTGCTTATTTTGAACTTTAACCTTTGATAATTCTTGTTGTTGTTGTTTGTCCAAAAAAAGAAGTATACTGTTATAATCAGCTCAATCATCTCTATCGATTCCAATATTTTTTTTTTTAATTTGAGATTTGGAGCCCAGCTGCATTTTTGCCAATAAAAATGTATTCGTCATTCAAAATTGCTGAAATGATGAATGAAAACTTATTCTTATTTTTTTTTTGTTCAATTATTCATTTACCTGAATACGCCATGCCTGGCGGGTATCTTTTTTCGATACCTTTGAAGTACTTGGTTCAAAAGTATCGATACCCAAATTACTTGGTATCGAACGAAAAGTATCGAGTATGTACCTGTATTTACTCGTATTGTTCCTTCCTAGGTTCGATAACATAATAAAAACATAAACAGTTTTGTAATTTGCATTTTTATGTGTTTCAATGGTAGATATTGAGCAGATATGGTTGGAATTGTCGAGAAACTTACCGGTACTATCTGGAACCGTAAGTATAAGAACAATACTGATTTATTTTTCTCAAATTGAACTATTTCTAGATAGCAATGACTGAGACTGACGATGACTTCTGCAAGGCTTGGGAAGAAGTTAATAAGCTTGGCTTGGAGGTGATCCTCTGTGAAATATTACGCTCAGAGCTTCAGTCTGCAATTCGAGATAAAATAGTACCTGCGTTTTGGTCACATTTTCCAGTTCGAGTAGAAATGAATGAATACGACGTTGATTCGCAATTTCATTTGTTTCACCAGTTCGCCGCGGCAGTTGAAAATTTACAAAAAAGCTTCATATGTTTGGAGTTGGTCTCGCGACGCGTGATAAACTTGTATCCTCAGACAAATCTTAAGACGTGGGATTTTAAAACAGTGTTACTACAAACATTATTGGCACAAATTCCAACTGGATTCAATGAAGCCGTATTTGCATTTTACCAAGTCTCATTCCAAATTTATATCCAACAGCATAATAAGCAAAAAACTGGGCCCTCTGGTAAGTGATATTAAAACAGAGTTTAGATATGGGTAAGTATACGGAAGCCCCAAGAAGTGTGCAGCCTCCCGGGCATACCAAGAAATTTTCCGAGTCGTGGTCTGTCTCTCCGCATGCCGGACACTCATTTGGCACATCTGCATCTAATCTGCTCAGGTATGAGTTTAACCTGCTGCAGTACCTAGAGCGAGATGAAGCTCTGTCTAGTCGATGTCAGGTCGTTGTATGCCAAGAACGGCATTCGCAGATCTGGAGTCTACATAACTAGAGACTGACTCCTTCTGAATGCCGCTCAAGGCCTGTCGATAAGCTGACGGGTCCATAGGTTACTTTATAAACCTCTGGACTTTGTCCGAAAGTTCGTAAATACGCCTTCTGATATGCCGTGGCGAGGGCTCTTCTGCAAGCAATTGTCTGTCGGGTGTCGACGTATGTGGCTTCCTACTAGGAATTGCTTTCAGAGCATTGTGTTGTGCACCTTTATGAAGAGCACTTTCGCCTCGTTGGCGTTAGGCTCCTAGCAGCGAAGAAGCGAAGAGGTCGGAGAGATATCCTTTTACTTTCGAACACAAGTCCTCAGTTCCATTCCCAGACGCCATTATCGAACAATCGTCAGCATAGCAGCCAATCGAGACTCCCTCTGGTGGTTGAGGGAGCTTTGAAATATAGTAGTAAGTAAAGGACACCACCGTGTGGAATCCCCTGTTTTATTTTTCTAGGTTTGCTCGATTTGTCTATAAACATTACTGTCGACCACTTATATAATTCGCCAACCAGCGTTTGAGCCTCTGTGGGTGAGAGGACGCCTCCATGTCTTCTAACAGCGTGGAGTGACTGACGGTATCCAACGGCTTTGAATAGTTCTCTCACAGGGACGGTTGCGGTTTAGGCCACGTGCATTCAGCATATTCCGTCTGGTCCCTTGTCTTTGGAGGCTTTCGCCTTGCCGATGACTACCCGAACTTCACCGCTAGTGAAAGCAAGAGAGATGAGTGTTTGTCAGTGGTAAACACTATACGAGACACTTGGTGACGAATATTTTCGATCTCTGACAAAAAGATTACAGAAAGATTATTGAAATCGGTTAACGTAGTCCAGAGTTATGCGGTAACATACATAAAAAAAATCCAACGAATTAACCTTTTTCTTTTTGTCAAGTCGATTAAAAAGGATCAAAGGTCTCTTTCTTTTTTTTCTGGGCTCTGAAGCAATGACTAGGGACCCAATAGTCAGGTTGTTCCTCTTAGTATGTTATCTTCCCACTGCTGTGAGCGATTTTCAGGTGTGTAAAACGTTGCTCCACTGATACACATATGGTAATACCGCTGAGGGCAAGAACCACGCGCAAAATTTTCTGCTATGCTCACGTCTTATTGGTTTCAATTCTCTATTTCTTGTTAACAGCCTTATTCTGCATTACGAACGATAGGCAACAAGAACGATTCGTCTGCAAATGGCAGCATCTCTGATTGCGATTTTATTACTATATCGGTCGTCTCCGTCTTCCTTTTCATATATTACGTTGCAATGGTCTCGGTTGCGTTTAAACCGGCTAGAATGATGCCGCCGGAGTCTAGCCGGATTAAAGTCATTCCCACGACAGCCGGTTCTACGTACCGGAATGACTCGGGTTTCACCCGACCAAGGGCTGTTGTTTCGGCGATCTAACCCCGTTTAGGTCGGCGAAGTATCTTAGAAGTTGTCCGTCCATAGGGCTACATTCACTACGTATTCTCCTACTCAGGGCTGGCATCAAGTCAAACCCTGGGCCAGAAACATACACCTGCCGAAGACGATTACACCACAACTCCACCTCAGTCAAGTGTAATGCCTGCGAGGGGTGGAGTCACCTCAGGGTGTGCTCGGGACTACGGACACACAGACAGTGGACCACGTCGTACGTGGCCCCCTGTTGCTCAAATAGAGCAGCCTCCACGGCTAACCATAGTCCGCCCGAGCAGCCCCACACACTCACACAGCAGCCACACACAGTCACCACAACACAACAACATAATAACACCACAGACCGTACCACAGCCACTACAGACCACATAACACACACAACCGCACCACCACCCACACGCCGCCGCCAACAACTCCTGGTTCCCCCTACAATCTGCACGGTATGTCAGACCAGAATATTCCGTAATGTGACATCAGTCAAGTGCAACACCTGCCTTGGCTGGTGCCACTTTAGGGCATGTTCAGGTCTGCGTACCACGCGAGATTGGACGGGGAACTTCGAGGGCCCGTGTTGCGCTGCTCGGTTGTTGTTGTTGTTGTAGCGGCTGCTCGGTCGCAGACTCCATTTGCGACACCCCCCACCACCACCACAGGGCGGCAATCACCTCAGCAGCACACACAGCCAACGGCGGCAAGAACATACACTGGACGAAAGAGGTCAGGCTACCGCTGGGGATTCACGTCGATGACACACCAATTCCGACGGTGAATAACCCCAAAATACTCGGAGTAACATTCGACAGCCTGCTC